AGCACTGTTTGGTTCTACAAGATTCCCTGTTATCACATGGAAGTCGCACCTTGGCAGATTTCTTCATAGTAGAATGTGAGCGGAAGTGCACTACTGGGATTATCATTGTCACGTGCATTGAAACTAGAGCGGTACACTGTGCCCTATCAACTAATCCAAAAATAGGAACGAAAGCATGCCTACCACCTATACGCTCAACTGGGGATCTGATGAGACAGTACCAGATGAGAGACCGCGATACCAAAGAAGCGTCGCCTGAGAGGTGTTGATCCTGCCCGCTAAGCGCGAATCTTGTGCGCAGTTCCGCGCAAGGCGGCTGCGACCGCGGAACGTCCTACAAAATATCACGCGCTGGCACTATTGATCCGTGCGCCAAATCGAAGGCCGGCACACCGGATCAATTGCTGCCAGCGAACAGTCTCGATTTTAGCGGTCTAATTCACTAGCAAAATATGGCACACGCCATCGCGCAGGCCTAATAGCGATGTTTCACGTGTATTTGTTATGTGTTGTGGTTGGCAGAAGCAAAGCGTGCAGCTTGACAATTACAGATGAATGACCACATGTTTGATAGAAAGCATGTTTATGTAGTGTGACGTACACGTCGCGTGCTGCGTGCGTGGCTGTGCCGTACACGGTCGTGCATGCGCGTGTGAACTTACACGTGCGTGCGTGCTGAGCAGTGAGAGGGTGCGAGCTTCCCTGACTGAGCCGAGCTGGCTCCGCCTGTGTATCCTTGCGTCAGGAACGGGCAGCAAGCGGCGTGATCATCGTTCTGCGCTGTGTATCCTTGCGTAGACTTCTGACCGAGCTCCGCTACACCTACATGGTCAGCTAGCAGGGCGGACAAAGCCGCCAGCAGCTAGAGAGCAGTGGAAGGTGCGAGCTTCCCTGACGAGCCAAGCTGGCTCTGTGTTGCTTTGGAGCTGGACGCCGCAGTTATATACAGCCGTGGGCCACCACGTGGTCACAGTCATGTGACCCCCACGTGTGACCTGCAGGTGTCCCTCCAATTAAACTATAGGTCAAGTGGTGCAGCATGGCTTTCCGCTTCATCCGCTGCTAGCCCCTGTGGCTACGAAGCCGTACGTCTTCAAGGTTGAAGTAATGCTGACGCATGCTATAGTGTATGTTGTACAGCGGGTCGGGTTTGCCTGATAGCTCCCAATCCATGAGTGTGCGCGAGCATGAGTGTGTGCGTGCTGTGTGCACGTACACGTCGTGCGTGCGTCCGTGTGTGTGACGTACAGTGCGTGCGCGCGTGTGCATGTGCACGTATACGTGCCGTGCATGAGTGTGTGCGGTGCGTGTGCACGTACACGTGCGTGCGTGCGAGCGTGCGTACGTACATGCGCGTGCGTGCGTGCGTCGTGTGAACTTACACTTGCGTGCATGCGTGCATGTGTGCGTGCGTGCGTGCGTGCGTGCGTACGTACGTACACGTGCGTGCGTGCGCTTGTATCGAACATATCACGCATCTGCTTGCTACCAACGTTAAACTCCGCATGTGCGCATATGGCGAAATATACAGCTGTGCCTGCATAGCTCCCAAATCCAATTGGTTGATACAAATCACGTACCACAAACTCCCTTGTTTATGGTGACATGTAATCCTAACCCTAACCCTAACTCTATAAACCCAAAAAATTATTTGTTGTTATTAAATGTTGTAAATAAATCATGTAAATATGGATAAACATAGAAAAATACAGAAAACAGAAAATAATGAAAAACAGATGGGATTCGATCCAACGACATTTCAGCCGTGTCGTCTCTGCTCTAGGCGTTCAGCTATAGAGGCATTGGCTTTTGTGTGTTGGATGTGCCTGACAACACTGTGGGCGTCATTGAGGAGTTTGAGGCACGTGATTTGTATCAACCAATGGGAATTCGGAGAGCCAAGTCACGAGTAAACATCGTTGAGTGGCATGCGGTGGCGTAGTCATTGAGGTAATTAGGGTTATTTCAGTTTTATTAAAGTTTTCCGTGCGCTTTTAAAGCCAACAATTTTCAACGATGTTACGATGACATGCTTACCAGCAAACCGTCTGTGTCAAGTCCGTCACTTTGCCACGAATCAGACTAAGCGAATTCCCAGTGAATTCCCATAATGTAATTCCCTGTTTTGTATTTAATGGCCAATAGGGAGCGTGCCGCTGCAAATATGAACTGAAACCTGCGTTTCTACAAGGACGGGCCGTCCGGGGGCGAATTTTTTTTTCCTAACCAACATATCCATTCCAGAACGGGGGCACACTAGTCCAGGCCAGGTTGACAAGATAGGAAACTTCCTGGTGAGTACCATATCACCTTGGATCCGAATATTCCTCCAGTTGTCCATGCACCTCGGAAAACTCCGATACAGCTTAAAGATGAAATCAAATCACAGATAGATGCTATGGAGCAACAAGGAGTAATCCGAACGGTCATAGAGCCAACAGAGTTGGTTAGCTCATAGCATACACAGTCGCAAAGTGGATGGAAGCCTACGATATGCTTAGATCCAAAAGACTTGAATCGAGCCATCCTGAGATGTCATCACAAAACACCAACACTTGAAGAGATAACACATCGCTTCAATGGAGCACGAGTCTTCTCCAAGCTGGATGCAAAGAATGGATACTGGTCGATCAAACTCGACGAGGAATCACAGGTCTTGACGACCTTCAACACACCGTTTGGACGATACTGCTTCCGGCGATGTCCATTCGGTCTAGTCATGTCCCAGGATGTGTTCCAGCGGCACATGGACTTCATACTCGAGCAAGTTGGTGACGGCGTACTCGGAATATCAGACGATATAGCCGTATATGCGGAAACGCATGAAAAACATGATGAAGTTCTACACAAACTGATGAGAGTCGCAAACGAACGTGGTCTCATGTTTAACAGCAGCAAATGTGAGATCGCTGTCCCATCCATCACATTCTTCGGAATGACATATGACAAACAAGGAGCGCACCCAGACCCAGCGAAGCTAGAGGACATCAAAGCCATGACTCCGCCGACAGACAGAACAAGCCTGCAGGAATTCCTTGGACTGGCTACATATATGTCGCCATTCATACCGAAGTTGGCAAACCATACCGCAACTTTACGCCAGCTCCTCAAGAAGGACAGCACCTTTGAGTGGACAAACACATATCAGCAGGCCTACGAGAAGATCAAGCATCTTATCTGCAAGAGCACTACACTGGCATACTTCGATCCAACAAAGGAAACAGTCCTGCAAGTGGACGCCTCTACAAAAGGCTTGGGAGCAGCTTTGACCCAGGACAATCGCCCAATAATGTTCGCATCCAAGTCCTTATCGGACACAGAGCAACGTTACGCGAACATTGAGCGCGAGCTCTTGGCGGCAGTCTTTGCCGTGGAACGTTTCCACACATTCCTCTACGGTCGCTCTTTCGTCATCGAATCTGACCACAAGCCGTTAGAGATGATCTCCCTCAAGAACCTAACGTCAGCACCACCGCGACTACAACGCATGCTATTGCGTCTACAGGGGTATGACCTCGTCATTAAATATCGACCCGGTCGCGAAATGCTGCTGGCTGATTGCTTGTCAAGGCAACCTAATGAAGCAAAGAAACAAACCATCGACTTGGACGTGAAAGTAAGCTTCGTTCAGTTCTCTACTTCCAAAGTACAGGAAATGCAGAAGGAGACTAGGGAAGACGAAACCCTCAGCGCCTTGCGGGACATAGTTGTGGCCGGCTGGCCCAGCGAGAGGCGGAGTGTACCAACACCGCTCAAACCCTATTGGCCCTTCAGAGATGAACTAAGCATCGAGAATGGTGTGGTTATGAAGGGGGAAAGGCTGGTGATCCCGAAAACCATGCAAAAGTATATCTTGGAGCAGATTCACGTAGGCCATCAGGGCATAACAAAATGCCAACTCAGGGCTAAAACTTGTGTATACTGGATTGGTATCAACAGTGACATAGAAAAACTAGTGTCACGGTGTGAACCATGTCAGACACACAAACCAAGTCAAGCAGCAGAAACTCTGCAACCTCACGAGATCCCAACCCGTCCGTGGCAGACATTGGGAACAGACTTGTTTCACTTTGGAAATGCAGAATACCTGCTCCTTGCTGACTACTATACAAAGTATCCAGTTGTACGACAAATCCAAGGAGCAAGCACATCTGGAGCAGTCGTAAAGATTGTGAAACAAATACTCTCCGAGTTCGGACGACCCGAACGGATTATATGTGACAACGGTCCTCAATTCTCCTCGGCAGAATTTAACCAGTTCTTGAAATCGTGGAACATTGACAATGTGACTAGCAGTCCGAGGTACCCTAGATCCAATGGGTTCATCGAGCGTAATGTACGGACAGTGAAGGAAATCCTCCAAAAGGCAAGAGAAAGCAAAACTGATCCAGATCTTGCTATGCTGTGCGCCCGAACAACACCGATTGACAACCACTTACCAAGTCCGGCGGAACTTATGTTCAATCGGAAAGTGGTCAGCAATCTTCCTATCAAGGTGACACCCAGCCAGTGGGCGACACATGACCCAGATAAGGTACAGGAAGGTCTCAAACAGAGACAAGACACTCAGAAGCACTACCATGATAGAACTGGCACAAAAGATTTATTTCCCTTGTTTCCAGGGCAGTTTGTCACACTACAGGATCACAATAGTGGACATTGGTCACCCGCTAAGGTGATTAAAAAGTGTCCATAGCCCAGATCGTACATGGTTGAAACCCCAAATGGAGGTATCCTTAGGAGGAATCGGAAACAGTCACACGAGACTCCATGGGTACCGAAAAGAGTCCACTTCCAAGATGGAACGAAAGATCTGATCCCTAATTGGAACCCGAAGCCAGCTGAGAGCACGTGTGAGCCAAAAAGCTCAAGCAGAGATGTACAGGTATCTGGTACATCAAACCGCGCACGCTCTGGTAGGATAAGTGTGAAACCTGATCGCCTTGATCTTTGACTCGGTTGGTGCAGACACCCTGTGCTGCTTCAGTAGATTAATACTGTGACATTGAGTTAGTTATTTTAGTACGATATCAAAATTGGACAATGGAATATTTTGTTTCGTTAATACAGCCGTAGATAAAATAAAACATATCAAGTAGATGTGTAACAGTATTAGACATCCACCCAATTCACGATTGGTTGTTATAACTTAGAAAGGGGGATGTAATATGAAAGCTTAGCATTGGTATACGCGAGTACATGCGTGAGCATGTGCAGAAGGTTCTTTCTCTCTCTCAAGATCATGGGCTCTTGTGGAAGTTGTGCTGTAAACTCGTCCGTCAAATAAACATTGATTACATTGAATATATACCTGTGTTCTGTGTCAAGAGTATATATTACATCTCGCTCAAAACTCGCGCGGTGTACCACCAACTGTACGTGTGTTTGCGTGCGTGCGTGCGTGCGTGCGTGCGTGCGTGCGTGCGTGTGTGTTGTCCGCTCGTGTCCGCTATGCCTCCGGACAACTTTCGTCCGTTAAGTATACCACTGCACTGAATACACGAGTGTATTGATCGTTACAGCCCTAGATCTCAGCACAAAAGAAACAAACATAAACCGAAGTGGTAAAATTTCTGTTTTATTTCATTTTATTTCCATTTCATATAAACCATAAAACACGACAGTTTGTTACAAATAATCATAGCAACGAGTAAATACATTATCACATGCATAAAACCCTACTGAACTGGCATATAGAGAATGCTTAGTGTTTGAGCATAACCTCATATTCCAGCCAAATCCAATATCCGGGATGGGTGCCGGGTCCCGACGTGGCCGGATAAAGGAGGTCGGACTGTAATTGATAAATGAATACCTAGGCAGAAATGAGCAGAAGAAAACACGACACAAATGCAACACAACTGCGAATTTGATAGGGAAAAGAAAGGGAAAAGAATACAAAAATGAGCCAAAAAATTGTTTTATCCAAATTAGCATTATAGCAGGGTCCTACTGTAGATTGACTCTTCCTACGTGGTGTAGAGCCGTGCTGAGCTACATGTAATATACACTGGGCTTGCTAGAATCTCTAGAGTAAACTGCGGGAATTAAATGTACATAAAAAATGAGAGGAACCATATCTTGAATTGTTAGATAGAGTTTATGTTGAGTTTAGGCTGCTCTTGGCTAATGACCATCACCCAATGAGTGCATTTTCTACTGGAAGCTAAATATAAAAGTTATGTAAGAAGAGCAGAGTCTTGTATGCCATGTTATTAAAACATATGTAAATGATCTATATGTTACAGAAAATATCAGATGCGTTTTGAGACTTCATCTCACCATGCAGCGATCAAGGATACGATTGCAACTGAGAATGCAAACCCATCGATCATTGATGTAACTAACATTTTTACTGTAACTGTGTTGTCTCACTCTGTAACTGTGTTGTCTCACTCTGTAACTGTGTTGTCTCACTCTGTAACTGTGTTGTCTCACTCTGTAACTGTGTTATCTCACTCTGTCTATTTCCAAAGCTCCCCACCCCCTAGTTCCCTCCCTGCTTCTATTCCCTGTCCTCTACCCTTCTTGTTTTCCCACCTTCCTGCTTTTCTTACATTTTTTTGCATACTTTTGCTTTCCTTCTCTCTCTCTCTAATCTCTTGTCTCTCGTTCTCTCTGCTCTCTCTCTCTCTCTCTCTCTCTCTCTGTATCTTCTCTCTCTCCTTTCTCGCTCATCCTCTCTCTCTCTCCTTCTCTCTGCTCTCTCCTCGCGTCCTCAGCTTTCTCTCTCTACGTCTCTCTCTCTTCTCATCCTCACTCTCTATCTCTGTCTCTCTTACTCTCTCTCTCTCGTCCGATCACTGTGCGGTGCGCCGGCAAACAGAACCGCCCGCACAACCACCCAAACACAAGACCGCTCGGCGCACGCAAACACACAACACCAACACACGGCCAACGCAGACGCTCGGGCGCACGCAACACGACGCAACAACAGACGCCACGCGCAACACGCACACAACGGCAAACACGACGCTCGCAACAGGCGACTACGGGGGCCCGGTGGGGGGGGACTTGGTTGGTTGGACCCGGTCGGTATCGGGGTTGTCGTGGAAGAGTCTTTGGATCGGCTCGTGGTTTAGGGCCACAGAGACGCACCGCACACGCACAACACGCGAACACAACACACGCAACGCAGACAGCCCTCGGCGCACGCACACGCCTCGTGAGGTCGCAACACAAGACGCACGCGCACACGCACAACGCACACAGAAACGCTCGCGCGCACGCACACATGCACGCGCGCACACACAAACAGCACACACACACAGACAAACACACACACACACACACACACACCACACACCACAGCAGAGCCACGCACATCGACGCGCACACGCGCATACACACCTGCTCTGTCATCACGCATCGTGAGTGGCATTTAAAAACTTTGTAGATGCATCGCAGTCACTGACGCTGAAAATGGCGTGCGTATGCTCGGGTCGAGCCAGCCGCGAGACTCTGGGACAGCCGCTGTAAAGCAGTAACTGCCTGCCTGCGGCGGCGATGGCCGCCCAAGTGAAATGCATTTTGGCGCTTAACAGAAGTAAACATAAGTGAATAAAGGATTTAAGTGGAAACCATTTTTGCCGCCAATGCAATCGACCGGGGCGGTGGCGTGAAGGAACCTGCGATGAAACCAATGTCGCTATGTGACGACATTTCGGCGGATCGGAATGGGGTCTTGAGACTCAACCGTCATTAATACATGCGGTTTCATTGAGACATCGAGTCATTAATACATGCGGTCATTCGATACATGAGGTCAATTGAAACATAGAGTCATTAATACATGGCGGTCATTGAGACATCGAGTTCATTGATACATGCGGTCATCTGAGACATGCGTCATTGAGATCACCGAGTCATTGAACATCGGGATCATTGAGACAGTCGAGTCATTAATACATGGGTCATTGAAAATCGGAGTCATGATACATGCGGTCCATTGAACATCCGAGTCCATTTAATACATTGCGGTCATCTGAGACATAGAGTCATTAATATCGGTCATGTGAGACACTCGATTCCATTGATACATGCGTCATTGAACACATCGAGTCAATTTAATACATGCGGTTCATTGAACATCGAGTCACTTGATCGACATGGCGGTCATTGAAAGCATCAAAGTCATTAATAGCATGCGGTCAATTGAGACATCGAGTCATTGATACATGTGGTCATTGAAACATCAAGTCATTGATACCATCGGTCATTGAGACATCGAGTCATTAATAACATGTGGTCATTGAGTACATCGAGTCCATCTAATAACATGCGGTCATTGAGACATTGGGTCAATGAGACCTGGGATCAGATAAGTGAGACGGTATGAGCAGGAATCGACAGTGCTACAATACAGGGCTCAGGTGGAGCTCTGCGACACACAGAATGTTGGAGTGGAGTGTGTCCACTGGGCTATGGCTATATGTGACACAGTACGTTAGCACGCGCGTGTGAATCTGTGTACGTCTCTAAGATGGGGAGGGCGAGACGTGGAAAAGGAGGGAGAGGCGGAGAAAGAAGAAAAGGCAGTGTGAGGAGGGAGAGACGGAGAAAGAGGGGAAGGCAGTAGAGGGAGAGACGGAGAAATGAGGGGAGGCAGTGAGGAGGGAGAGACGGCAGAAAATGAGGGGAAGGCAGTGAGGAGGGAGAGAACGGAGAAAGGAGGGGAAGGCGTGAGGAGGGAGAAGACGGAGAATGAGGGAAGGCTACGTGAGGAGGGAGAGACGGAGGAAAGTGAGGGAAAGGCAGTGCAGGAGGGAGAGACGGAAGAAATGAGGGGAAGGCGTGAGGAGGGAGAGCGGAGAAATAGGGGAAGGCGGTTGAGGAGGGAGAGACGGAGAAATGAGGGGAAGGCACGTGAGGAGGGAGAGCGGAAGAAAGGAAGGGGAAGGCGGTGAGGAGGGAGAGACGAGAAAATGAGGGGAAGGCGGTGAGGAGGGAGAGACGGAAGAAAGCAGGGGAAGGCCATAGTGAGGAGGGAAGAAACGGAGAAGAGGGGAAGGCGGTGAGGAGGGAGAGACGGAGAAATGAGGGGAAGGCAGTGAGGAGGGAAGCGACGGAAGAAATGAGGGGAAGGCCCGTGAGGAGGGAGAGACGCCGAGAAATGAGGGGAAGGCCAGTGAGGAGGGAGAGACGGAGAACCTGAGGGGAAGGCGGTGAGGAGGGAGAGACGAGAGAAAGGAGGGGAAGGCAGTGAGAGGGAGAGACGGAGAAATGAAGGAGGAAGGCAGGTGAGGAGGGAGAGACGAGATAATGAGGGGAAGGGCAGTGAGGAGGGAGAGACGGGAAAGAAGGGGAATGGCAGTGAGGAGGGAGAAAGGAGAAAGCAGGGGAAGGCGGTGAGGAGGAGAGGACGGAGAAAGGAGGGAGAGACGGAGAAGGAGTGAAGGCGGTGAGAGGGAGAAGAACGGAGACAGGATGGGGGAGGCAGTGAGGAGGGAGAGACGGAGAAAGGAGGGAGAGACGGAAGAAAGGAGGTGAAGGGGTGAGGAGGGAGAACGGAAAAGGAGGTGAAGGCGGTGATGAAGGGAGAGAGGAGAAAGGAGGGGAAGGCAGTGAGGAGGGAGAGACAGAGAAAAGAGGAATAAGGTGGGGAGGAAGACGTGGAAAGAAGGAGGACGAAGAAAGGAGGGGAAGGCGGTGAGTGAGGGAGAGACGGAGAAAGGAGGAAGATGACGGAGAAAGGAGGGGAAGCGGTGAGAGGGAGCAGACGGAGAAAGGAGGGGGAAGGCAGTGGAGGAGGGAGGAGGCGGAAAGGCAGTGAGGAGGGAGGAGGTAAGGCAGTGTGTATTATATACAGCGCGCTGGTGCGATGCATCGTACGTGTTGCAGAAATGCGCCGCTATAACCGCACCGCCTGGGTAACAGGTGGAAAATCTTTGCCTCGATAAAAAATTTAATGAAGCAGGTCTGCAGGGCTCCAGCCCATTACAGACAATGGAACGCAGCTCAAGACTGTTTTTGTGAGCACACTTAATTGCGCTGACTTGGAATTTAGGATTTCGCAAATTAACGTAGGGGGGGGGGGGGGTGACCTAAACACGGTCGAACGCTATACGCTGTGCATTTTCCGGCCACTTTCGCGTTTCGTCGCCCTGTGATTTTCTAATCGAGTTTACCGCGTGCGTAATGCAAGCGCGGATTTCGTATGCAGACGCCGGCTTTTAAAGAAATGCGAGGAAGTTATTATAATGATCGGACAGAGAGAGAGAGAGAGCGCGGGTGGCTTGCCGTGGGGCGCGTGTCTCCCAGGGCCGAGCGGCGCGTGAAGAAAATGAGAGTGTGTGTGATGGCGGGCAGATAGTGTGAGACTGCTCGCTTCCTCGTGTCCTGCATTCCCTGCTCGGCTCCTCTCTCTCTCTCACACTATTACAATCGCGCCGCAGCGCACGCACGCAGCGCACGGCGACGCCGCACGACAGGCACGACGGCAGCATCGCCGCAGGCACGCACGCACGCACAGCAACGCGCCACCAGGTCCGCGGCACGCAGGCACGCAGGCACGCAGCGCACGCACGTACACGTCACACACAATCACCACACACACACACACAACACGATTGCTTTCTCGCTCTCAGCTCTGCGCTCTGCTCCTCAACACACCACCACACTCCTCTCTCTCCCACCTTTCTTTTCCTCTCCCTCTCCTCCCTCTCTTTCCCTCTCCCATCCCCTGCCTCCTCTTTCTCTAATCTCTCTATCTCTCTCTCTCTCTCTCGGTCTCAAGCTCTCTCTCCTCTCTCTCCCTCTCTTCTGCTCTCCCTCTCTCTCCCTCTCCTCTCGTTCTCTCTCTTTTTTCCCTCCTCCCCCCCTTCCCCCGTTTTTTCCTTCCTTCCCCGTCTTTCGCCTTCCCCACACCCCCATTTTTTTTTTTTTCTTTTTTCCCCTTCTCTCTCCCCTTCTCTCTCTTTCTCACTCTCTCTCCTCTCTCTCTCTCTCGTCTCTCTCTCTCTCCTCTCCCTCTCTCTCTCTCCCTGTCGCTCTCTCTCTCCATCTCTCTCTCGTCACGGTTCGTCCCTCTTCCTCATCTATCACTCTCCTCCTTGTCCGCTCCCCGTCCCACCTAATCTCTCACTCCTCCCTCTCCCGCATCTCGTCTCCTCTCCTCCCTCTCTCTTTCTCCCTTCTCCTTCTCTTCCCCCCTCTTCTCTCTCGTCCATCATCTCTCTCTCTCTCTCTCTCTTCTTCAGTCCTCCCTCTCTCGCCTCCTTTCCCTGTCTCCCTCTCTCTCTTTCTCGGCCTCTCGTCCTCCTCCCCCCTCTCATCTCTCTCTCTCATCTCTCTCGTCGTCGGTACCCCGAACAGGCACTACTCTCGTCTCTCTGCATCTCCTCTCATCTCCCACCTCGGTGCTGCTCCTCGTTCTCTGCAGCCCCTTCTCTCTCTCTCTCTCGCCTCTCTCTCTCTTTCTCATTGGATATTCGCTGCTGCACGGTTATGTTATATCGACTAAGAACGGTACGAATGTAACGCGGTCAGCTCTCGCAATCCTACGATGTTTTCACACAAACCCTGCGGGACGTGGTCAAGATGTGTAGATGTGAGACGCTTAAAAAGAAGGAGGAAGCGCTGGCCGCTGCAGGGAGAAATAACTATAGTCATGACGTCATCGCTGCTCGGCCGTCGTGACGTCATCGCTGCTTCCTAACGCGGAGCTGCGAGAACCACCTTGACTTCCACTGTCACCCTCACCTATCAACAATTGTCAACCACACGTGAATATAATCCACGCGCGTCAACAATTGTCAACCATAAGTGAATACGAATAGAAAAAACATGGGTGTCAACTACTGTCAACCGTATTACCTGTCAACTATTGTCAAACTTCCCTGTCAACTATTGTCAAACCTTCCTGTCAACTATTGTCAAACTTACCTGTCAACTATTGTCAACCAATACCGGTCAACCACATCTGTCGACAGTTGTCAGCCATACCTATCCTCAATGTTAGGAATACGCGCGACCTTGCGTTGCGACGTGACGCTGACATGGCGACATTTATCTCCCGGTCTCGCTAACGCCTGCTGGTCCGCCATGCGATAGTGCGCACTATACTCACTGCATCGTTGTTGTGGTATCACTCGGTGCACTTGCATGGTGTTTACCTAAGGTGGTGACGTCCTCCCATCTCTTGGCCTAAGATAAAATATTGGCTTGTTTTCTCCCTTTACCGACCGACTCGCCAAACGTGACGTACTCGACAACATTTTATTGGCCGATTAAAACAAAAACAAAAATATCTTCGTTTCGCCAAAAAAAAAAAAATCAAATTTCGTTCGCGGCAAAAACACATACAGGAAAACAGAATATACAATATACATACACACATCTTGTCAAAAAAAATAAAAAAGATTTTTCACTTACCCTACCTAATGTACCCTGAGAGGCGAGTAGGTAATAGGGGAAACAAACAATTTTTTAACGGGTGGCAGCTTGCCTGCGACAGTGACGGCTGTGTGGCGGCTCAACACACGCAGCTAAAGTAATTTATTAGTGAAATCAAAGCGCGGCGCTGTTCGTGGTGAATTGCACTAAGGGGAAATTCTGCTGTCGTGCTAGTATGCGCGTCCGTCGCCCTTAATTCGGTTCATCTTAAATTCGCCCACGCTTATTGTGCCTCTGGCGGTGGAAACAATCGCTCTCCGTAACTCAATGCGTGTACGTGTGTGCTGTGTGTGTGTGTGTGTTGTGTGATGTGTGCTGTGTGTGTGTGTGTGTGTTGGTGTGTGTGTGTGTGTGTGCGTGTGTGTGCATGTGTGTGTGTGTTTGTGTGGCGGCGTGCGCGTGCGAGTGCGCGTGCGCGTGTCTGTGTGCCGTGTGCGTGTGTGTGCGTGCGGGCGTGCGTGTGTGGTGTGTGTGTGGTGTGTGTCCGTGTGTGTGCCGCGTGTGTGTGACGGGGTTATGAGAAATAGGGGAATACAGGATGGAAGTGATAAGAGCGAAGATTGAGCCATAAGAAAGGGATGGGTGAACTTAAGGAGAAACGAAGACAGAGATGGATGGATAGATAAACTAGATAAAGTCTGAGATACAGGATATGAATAACATAAGGAAAACAACAGCGAGAAAGGGAGAGAGAAAGAAAGAAAGAGGGAGAGAAAGAGTGTGTGTGTGTGAGCGAGAGCGCTTCGTTATAAAAGGCCTGTAGATGACAGTGGCAAGGTGACAAGAAAACTGGCCGGTTTTTCTACGTCTACCGCCGCGCAGGCATACCGCTAACGAACCAAGATTAAAAAATACCTGCGCGCATGCGCACACTCCCACTCCGTCACGTCGTACTACAGCAGCACGCGCCGCCAGAGACGCGTAACCGCGAGGTGCGCCAGTCGTCGCGTCTGGGTCAAGCGACGTGGCCTGCTAGCGCACGTCGCTGGCATACATGCGAGCCTGACATCCCGGAGGCCGCGTCGTAATTTCCGCTTTGATGCGCTAGCTGACTTTGTCTTCGGTCCCAGTTCTGTCCTTACGAATTCGAAAAGTTAAAATCGAAGAAAAGCAAGATAACATTATCATCATGATGATAATTCGAACTGCAAAAGTTGGCATTAGGAAACTTATAATTTCGCAAATCGCATATTAAATTGTTAGCTAAATTGCGATCCCCCTGCTTCCGTGCTTTGTCAGACGTTTAAAAAACAACGTCGAAAAAGTGTTTTTTGCTCGCGCTGCTTCTGCCCTGTGTCCGCGACATCATTGATTTGGCGCAACGCAGTCAATGCAATCGCACTTTTCTTAACATTAGTTCGGTTTAATAAGTCTGTAATGTTACAAGGAATAGAAGACGCTCGTTTCGCTGGCCCTCCATACACGTATCAACAATACAGACGTCAGGGGGCGATGCCTTCGTGACACTCTCGTGTTCTTACGCGCCAAGGACGCAGCGAACCCCGCAGAATTAGAGTTCGACATGTAATCGAGGATAAGTATTGCTGTGGCGACTAATACGTGCGCGGTGTTCGGATGGCAGGCCCACGTGGTGTGTTACTTGCGGTGTGTGTGTGTGTGTGTGTGTTGTGTGTGTGTGTGTGGTGTGTGCTGTGTGTGTGTGTGTGTGCGTGTGTGCTGTGATGTGTCGTGTGTATGATGATGTGGTGTGTGTGTGTTGTGTGTGTGTGTGTGTGTGTGTGTGTGTGCGTCGTGTGTGCGGTTGCGTCGGTGGTGATGCTTACCGCGCGTGCGTGTTGGTGGTCGTGCGCGTGCTTGCGCGCGTGCGTGTACGTGTAAATCTCAAATATCTGCGAACAGTGGGTGCTTGTAATCGTTCTCCTTTGAGATCCCACTCTCTTCCGCATCTCATGTGTGTCCAAGCATGGCTTCAGGTTTTTAACGCACAGCATCCCCTCTGCCGTGTCTCACAGTCCTCATCCCGCTGCCGTGTCTCAGCAAGTCTCATCCCCCTGCCGTGTCTCAGCAGTCTCATCCCCTGCCGTTTGTTCTCTAGAGTTCTTCATCCCCCTGCCGTGTCTCAGCAGTCTCACCCCCCTGCCGTGTCTACAGCAGTCTCATCCCCGCCTAGCCGTGTCTCAGCAGTCTCATCCCCCCCCCCTGCCGTTCTCAGCACGTACTACATCCCCCCCTAGCACGTCGGTCAGGTCAGTCTCATCCCCCCTCGTCGTGCCTCAGCAGTCCTCATCCCCCCTGCCCGTGTCCTCAGAAGTATCACCCGTGTCTCCGCATCCCCTCATCACCTCCTTCTCGTGTCTCAGCCACCCGAATAGAAGCCAGCCCTGCTGAATTATATCCCGACGTGGATGCTGGGAAGCCAGGCATACGATTAATCCCGCGG